TTCTTTATCCAAAGGAGGTTCCTGAGTGAAAACTGCCCCAACATAGTCAGCCATAGCCTCTGCTTTGTTCTGATCTTCCTCTATCATTTCAGATTCACTCCCTTCTTCAACTAGATTGGGAATCCAATGATGCATCCTTGTTCTGTAGTTTATGTACGAGAATATTCTCTTGGGCTGCTTGAGTGCTGATTGTGCCAACCGCAATTCATATTTTCTTTGAGTTCCGATGGATAATGGAAGATGTGAGAACCAGGAAAGGAGGGGATATAGCTTCAGATCACCACCTGGTTGTGACCAATTTAAAACTGAAGCTAAAGAAGAACTGGACAACTGTACAAACAGCACCACAAAGGTTCAATACAGCCTTCCTCCGAGATACCGACAAACTCAATGAATTCAAGATAGCTCTCAACAACAGGTTCCAAGCTTTACAGGATCTACTGAAGGAAGAAGAAACTACTATGGAGGATAACTGGAAAGGTATAAAAGAAGCATTCACTTCAAAGTGTCAAGAGGTTCTGGGCTTCAAGAAGCATCATCACAAGGAATGGATCTCCATAGAAACACTGAACAGGATGAAAGAAACGAAGAACAAGAAGACAGCAATTCACAACAGTCGAACAAGAGCAGAGAAAGTCCAAGCACAAGCTGAGTACATAGAAGCAAACAAGAAAGTGAAGAAGAGCATTAGAGCTGACAAGCAAAAATACGTGGAAGAACTAGCAACGATGGCGGAAAAAGCTGCAAGAGAAGGAAATATGAGACAGCTTTACGATACGACGAAGAAGCTTGCAGGGAAATACAGTAAACCAGAGAGACCAGTCAAAGAAAAAGAAGGAAGACCAATCACTGAGATTCAACAACAGCGGAACAGATGGGCAGAGTACTTCGAGGAACTCCTGAATAGGCCGGCTCCAATGAATCCACCGGACATCGAAGCAGCACACACAGATCTTCCTATAAATGTCAATCCACCAACGACCGAAGAAATCAGAATGGCCGTCAGACAAATCAAGAGCGGGAAAGCAGCAGGACCCGACAATATACCAGCTGAAGCGTCGAAGTCAGACATCGAAGTAACTACAAGCATGCTTCATCTTCTATTCAAGAAGATTTGGGAGGAGGAACAAGTGCCGATGGATTGGAAAGAAGGACACCTCATCAAGATTGCAAAGAAAGGAGATCTGAGCAAGTGTGAAAACTACAGAGGCATTACACTACTGTCAATACCGGGTAAAGTCTTCAACAGAGTGTTACTGAACAGGATGAAAGACGCAGTTGACGCTCAACTTCGAGATCAACAAGCTGGATTCCGTAAGGACCGGTCGTGCACAGACCAGATTGCGACACTACGGATCATCGTCGAACAATCAATTGAGTGGAACTCGTCACTGTACATCAACTTCATTGATTATGAGAAGGCATTTGACAGTGTAGATAGGAGAACGTTATGGAAACTTCTTCGACACTACGGAGTTCCTGAGAAGATTGTCATCATTATCCGGAACTCATACGATGGACTACAGTGCAAAGTAGTGCATGGAGGACAGCTGACTGACGCATTCCAAGTAAGAACCGGAGTAAGACAAGGCTGTCTACTCTCTCCCTTCCTCTTTCTTCTGGTGGTCGACTGGATTGTGAAGACTTCGACATTTGAGGGAAACCACGGCATACGATGGACAGCTCAGAACCAATTAGACGATTTGGACTTCGCAGATGACCTAGTCCTCCTATCGCATACACACGAACAGATGCAGATAAAGACAGCCAGAGTAGCAGCAGTCTTTGCATCAGCAGAACTCAACATACACAAAGGGAAAACCAAGGTCCTCAAACACAACACGGAGAACAGCAATCCAATCACTCTTGATGGCGAAACTCTGGAAGACGTGGAATCCTTCACATACCTGGGAAGCATCGTCGATAAACAAGGAGGTTCAGATGCAGACGTCAAGGTGAGGATTGGCAAAGCTAGAGCGGCATTCCTTCAACTGAAGAACATATGGAACTCAAAGCAACTTTCAACCAATATCAAAGTCAGAATCTTCAATACCAACGTCAAGGCAGTCAGTTCTACTGTACGGAGCTGAAACTTGGAGAACTACAACAACCACCATCAAGAAGGTACAGGTATTTATTGATAGCTGTCTACGCATGATACTCAACATGCATTGGCCGGATACCATCAGCAACTGCCTGCTGTGGGAGGGAACAAACCAGCTTCCAGCTGAAGAGGAAATTAGGAAAAGACAATGGAAATGGATAGGACATACATTGAGGAAATCATCAAACTGCATTACGAGACAAGCGCTAACTTGGAATCCTGAAGGGAAGCGGAAAAGTGGAAGGCCAAAGAACACATTATGTCGGGAAATAGAATCAGATATGAAAAACATGAATAAGAACTGGAAAGAGCTTGAAAGCATTGCCCAGGATAGGGTTGGATGGAGAATGCTGGTGAGCGGCCTATGCTCCTTGACGAGGAGTAACAGGCGTAAGTAAAGTAGTAAGTAAGTTCTCGAATTTTTGTTGTACACTTGTTTCTTACCGATCTGTAGCGCTCCATCGTACCTGCTGTGCCAAGGCGGATGGAGACATCCCAACATTTCTTCTTTTGTATTAGTAAAGGTCGAATATCCCTACCTACCCAGGGATGTCCGTGCTTCTTCTTCTTCTTTGGGACCGTCCAGGGTAGGTATGGTTGAGTTACCCTGTTTTATTACTGCCTGAAATGCGTCCATGCCTCTTGTACTGATGCCCTTGAGTCAATTTCTCAGTTTACAGCCAATGCTGCAGAGTTGATGGCCTCCGTATCTGCCTTCCATATAATAAAACAGGCCGGTGCAACTGTTTAACAGGCAATCTCAGCCACGAATTTGAATAAGATGACTGCGTGGTCACTTCTTCCTAGTGGTGGCAAGAAAGTCATTTGACCAACGTCATCACCGTGTGTGAAGACTAAATCTAAAAGAGAGGAATTTCTTAAGTCATATCTTGTGGGAGTTCCAATATATTGGAACAAAGCTAATGCAATCGATGTTTCTAACAGTTTGCAATCTAATGACGTTATCGATGACCCGACTTCTGAGTTAACCCAGTTTATATACGGTGCGTTAACGTCGCCTACTACAAGGCTTTTACTCTTGTTACACCAGGACTTAAGTTTACTTAGGAGAAAATCATCTACCACGCATTCTGGACCGCGATATACTACAACTAATTCAATGTCTTGCCGTCTATATTTCAGCCTACATCTCACCAATTCACATGTCCCTGAAACATGTGCTACTGTCTCAGCTACTCTTATGGTTAGGGTACTTTTCATGTACATGATTACCCCGCCTCCCCTACAATTTAGTCTGTCATCCCTACTGGATAAAAAACCAGACAAGTGAATTTCATTATCTAATACTTTCGACGTTAACCAAGTTTCTGTGACAAAAATAACATCCGGTTTCTCTTTATCCACCATTGACCTAAGCTCCGCGAGCATTTGTGTAGCATACCTTTAAGTCTGTGGAGAACTTTCCTTTACCACCCAGAGTGGTTTGGGGATCGTTTTGTTCCGAACTTTTACAATTTGAAAACCCTTAAGAATGAGGTTTCTTTCGCCGTTTCGGCGACGCTCATTTATTCCCACTTCTGCAGCTCGTCTCTTAATACGATCACCTAGGCTGAGATCCTCACGGACATATATTCCGGATCCAATCAGTTTACGTGAGTTACCTAGAATTAGGTTCCTTTCTTTAACCGTGGCAAATGTAACCTTCAAGAGGCGGTTTTTCTAAGATATTTCAGGATCCACCTTTCATCCTATTCTATGAAGCTTACAAATGCTAACTCCTGAAATGGTATCTGTTAGTAGTTTGCTTATTAAGGACATAATGTGACTGAAGTCGTGTTCAAATATAGCCTTTGGTTCCTTATCGGAAGATTCACTTAACTTATGAAAAATGACTGACCTCTCAGAGAGATCTGTTCTGACACGCAGTGGAATTTTTGTTTCTGATACCGTCTCTTCCAATGGCTTGCTAACCAGCTGCGGTTTGCCTACAGCTTTTTTCTTCTCATTTCTTTTTCTCCGTGCTGAAGTCCATTTATTCTCAATCAGGACAGTCACACTGGGACTATTTGGAACTATTACAGTGTTATCCGGGTCTTCAATTTCCACTAAAGGTGTATGACTTCCAATGTCAATATCAAGCGGCACTTCACTCCTCGTTAATGTTAACGGTGTTTTTATTTTTCCATCAATCACAATCGGGTGTTTAACGGATCCAGTAGCAGCACTTACTACACTGACATATTCTTCACTGTCAGTGCTGGTGGTGTCAGGACAACCGCCATCGTTTTTCTTAAAGATCAAAGCCAACAGGCTGATAGCCTCCTGGATTAGTATTTTTTTATTTGTACAGCAAAACATACAAAGCCAATGCGAGTTCGGCTTCGAGCATTTTTTATATGCCGTAGGACTTAAACGTGTACACATCTTATGGTACCACTTTTTACATTCACCGCACTGCATTCTTTCCTCAACGGGGAACAAGGAGTTTGGTTGTCCACATTTATAAGACTTACTAACCATTGTAATTTGATTTTAAAAACACTATGATCACAACGTGAACACGAGTGTCAGTCAATGAGTAAACAAGAAAGATACCACAGGACAAATTTTAGAGAAAATTTCATACTTTAACCAAATTACTTTTAGTTGAAGTAAACCAAGAATGCTTTCTGTTGCAACTAGTACATAAAGCAATGAGAATCACAACCAGTACAAAAATCACTCTCCTTTTTGAAACGGGCGCGGTAGATCATCAGTAATTTTTTTCTTTTATCGTTAAATATACCTAGGTCCAAACCCAAAGGTATTGATGATCCACTGCTAATAGACACGGAAGCACGTTAAGCGAAATCTTCTATTCCGTCCACAACCATTTGACCGTTGGAGCGGCATTTCAAGGTGTGGCCTTGAGCATGTGAATAACATCAACTGGGCAATGCCTCCTGATCCTTCAAAGGGCAGTAGTTCTAAAAGTAAAAGCATCCAGAAATCTTCGTATGTTAGAACCACAACTAATGTTGATATTATAGGAAGGAAAATATCAACTTATATGCTATTCTAGAAGTAGATAGGAATGCAACAGCTGAGGAAATCAGAAAATCTTATCGTAAAGTACGTTCATCTTATTTTAATATTCTCTCAGCTCGCACTAAAATATCACCCGGACAAAAACCTAAGGGATCCTGGGGCTTCTGAAAAAGTATAGTGTATATTTCTTGAAAAAACAAAATTGTAGTTCAAAGAAGTCAATAGAGCACATTCTATACTAGCTAACGAACAGAAAAGAAAATTGTACGACCGGTATGGAGCTCTTGGGATTTACGTCGCAGAGCATATTGATGAAGAAGACTGGAGGCCATACCTGGCTTTACACAACCCTTGTGTACAGGTACGTAGTGTTAATTAAATATCCTCAGAAAAGTGGTTTGGAAACAATCTCGTAGTTCACTTTCTGTGACCTTTTATTCAACTAAAATTTCGCTAACTCAGAACTATTGTGCTCGTCCTAGCAAATGTTTGGTAGTGATATAGTTCCTAGCCCACTACTCTTTTCCAACCACACGTGTAAATTTCTGATCATTTGTTTGTGTCTAGTACCCACACCGGCAGTTATTAGTTTTAGGCGTGACAAAAAACTGCTTAGCTCACTACCAAGCATGCTTGTATATTTCAAATGCCTGATTCCGGTCAGTGAAGTCCCAGAATATATTTCATTGTCCCCTTTGTACCAATATTTTCGTGTTCATATAAATAAATAAGCAATGAATAAGTCACCATCAACTTGCCAATCGCATCTGTCGTGTATGATATCTCATCCAAATTTTAGTATTTTGTTTGAAGTTTGCATCCACAACGTGCGTCATTAATTCTGCATTATTATCCTCAGGGATTTAATAGTTTTAGTAATTTATCTATTTCAGAATCACATCGACTTGAGACTGGATATAAATTTTGAATAATCCATCACTGTATCCTACTACATAGTGACAGTCAGTTTTGTACTCGTTTGGTTTGATTATTTTTCGTTCGAAAGAGTTGTCTATCACACGAGATCAAATTGCATAAACAAATGTCCATCCTAGATTAAATATACTGCCGTGATACCTACCGTAGCTTAACCCTCTAATTTGACCAGATTGTGATCGATAGTTAGCGACCGTTGTTAAGTTAGCCTCAAATCGGTCGCACTCATTCGTTACTTCACCCTGCCTTCTGGGTTTCGTTACATACTTTTTAACCCTCAGATTCATTCCTTTTTGAATCCAACCCTCTCTATGTTAGTGTTACTACTATCATTGCTGCTATTGTTTCAGGTCATCTGGTATTCATATCAACTTCAACTTTTCGCTGATATAAGTTGTGGCAACTTTGGCCGACAGACATATACCAGATCCTGGACTTATTATAAATTACTGACTGACAAATCGTCATTTACGAGTACTGAGACCTGTTATACATGTTAATCTTCTCTGTTTAAGCATAGTGATTGCTGTAATAGAATATGAATCGGAAGAATCCTTCAGAAAACGGACCAGTATAGCATCGATCCATGTAATTGTTGACCATTATGAAAAGAATAGTTCTTTTTTATCATTGTCCGTAATACTGTTTAACTTTGAGGGTGCTTTGTAAAGTATAGTTCCTTGTACGAATACAAATTTGTTCTGTCTCCTACTTTGTTTGTGGGTGCCTCACAAATAAGTCTTTCAATGGATTGTAGTGAATAATAACTTAGAAATAAGGGTTCTATTATTATTATTATTATTATTATTATTATTATTATTATTATTATATTATTATCGTTTTCATTCTGAGTTTTTTCACAGTTTCCTGCACAAATTTCTACTTTTTTCTGTTTACAGTGCCTTGCTTGTACCTGTTTCTTGTTAACATGCTGTTGTTGCTTCCTCTGTTGTTGTTACTGTTGTGGTACACTTTATCCAAAAACTCCCCCTGTTCCCGATGAAATGAATGAAGTACGTTCTAATTGTCATAAATCCGTATAAATGTTTTCATTACGCTTCTGAATAGTTTTATTAGTGATAAGATTTAAGTCTTACTCTTTCAATGTGGTTTTAATATTCTAAAACTTATATATACCTTGTAGAAAAAGTTATATATTTGGATGCAACGGTCGTTTAAGAACAACAAAGCAAAAAGTTAGATAAATAGATGGGCTATCTCTGAGTAGCTTGTTTTACAAACATGAAATCTACTACTTCAGTTTGTTTATCTGCTAAGATTGGTATTAAAAAATACCAAGTTTAGTATGTAGAGAGTCTGTTAATGATGGTAATTATGACTTTTATGTATAAATTACTCATTAACCCAAACCAAAAACTGGATTGAGTCTAATAACTGTGTGACGAATTAACTTAGGTCGACTAAGAAGTCACACATAATAATTTCATATCTCAGGCTACTCGAACCTTCTGACTATCCTGTCCTACATTTCTACAATATGCTTATTGTAGTATATGCTGAGAAGTACCCGAGTAAAGTTGTGTTTAAAGGAAAAGACAAAAGAATAAAGGTTGAGCGGGATATAACCAAACTGTTGTCGATATTGGCATTGAATTCAAGTATGTGCTCTTGGACATTGACCATCATGGGTTTCTATGAGTTGATAATATATTCACTGTTTCAGAACAGTTCGATTAGAGCTATTCAGTTTCATACATACGGTGCAACGACATTAAGCAGTGATATAGTATTAAAGGTGTTCGACTTCCATCCATGTACCACGTCCATATTTCTCTGGCCAGCTGGATAGCACCATTATCCCTCATAATTATAGTGTAACTCAAAACTAAGCTTATGAATTTGTGCCTGGTAAGTGACAGAAGTTAGATTAGTAAATGCCAAATGATGGTATCTTATTCGTTTTCTAAATTTAGTATCAACTGTAGTGTTTATTGAGTGTATATTTGTTATCGTAAACGCTCTTTGTAAGCTCACTGTTCTCTTAACCAACAGGAAAACCTAGGAATCACTTCAATTTTCGAGTTTTAACCTGTAGAATTATCCAGTTTTTATTACATGAGATATTCGATTCATTGATCATGAAACTGTAAATAACGAGATATATATCTGTATATGTAGAGACAGAAAGATTGCTTGAGCGGACGATTGCTGTCACAAAATCAACGTTAAAAGCTAAATAATTTTACCATTGCCCACTGAAGAGAACCACTAGAATTGCTACTCCTGGAACATCCTTTAACTCCAGCCGTTGTTCATAAATGTCTTGGAAACATTGGTCGCATAGTCTAGGTCTAGCGGGTTATTATTTATTTATTTTATTTATTTTAACACATAGGTATTGGTACAAGGAGGCACCAAATACATATGCGCCACACGAATCGCAATTGATTTGTGTGAGGGCTGCGATACTGCCCGGGTGCCTAAACCGAGGCAGGTGGCTTTCTTAGGGGGCCACACCCCGAGCCTTCGACCTGAACGTCTGACCCATAAGGCAGTGGAGCATCGTAAGGAGATACAGTCCCATGGTAGCCGGTGACCAACGATTGGTTCATACGCCATTTGTTCCTTCAGGATACTGGAGTCCATGTGCACGGTTGGTTTGAGATCCTTTTAAAGCGCCTGACGTTCGCTTTTGGTCCTCTGATTTTCGTAAACAACACTCGTGGTGCGAGAAGGCATTGAGTAGGACTTCCCTTGAAGAGGCTATATGCGCATGGCCATGTGAGAGCATTTCGAAAGCAAAGCAAACACTCCCCACTCTCAGCCATACCAGGGCATTTGGGGGCTATTCACAGTTATATAATATACCCTTGTGGGCCAGAGTAATTTTACATCGGTTTTCAGGAGACCCAGACACCGTCCAGACTTTCACGTGACAACCCAAACAGTACAGCCCAAGCCCGTTTAACAGGAGAGCCAAACACCGTATAGGCTTTAACGCTACAATCTGAATAGTGCAGTTCAATCCTGTGGCGCAATCACACAGGTACCAAGCACCCTGGTGGACCAGAATAATCTGATTATCACCTTAACGCTGCTATAGGTATAATCTATCTAAATTATTAAGCACAAGTTTAAAAACACAACTTTCAAATATCTCCCAGCCGAACAAAACAAAGCTGATGTTGCTGGTTTAAGCTCATGACCTAATTACAAGATGTAGAGTTCCATAACCGTCAGGTCGTTTTAGGTTTACTATCGCTTATCACCAAGAATGATTAGTTATTGCGGTGAAGTAAGTACTTATTTCATTTTATTTCGTCTCCTACTACTAGTAATAATAATACTAATACTAATTATAATAATTTTTTATAGGCTTATGACGAGTCACATTTTGAAGTTCCTGTGAACAATGATAGTAATAATGCAGAAACTTTTGTGACTAAACAACCAGATCCAGCTCCAGCCGTCAATCTTTACACAGTACTACCAACTACATCGTCATCTTTATGATTTACCAAGATTGCAAAATAATTAATGATACCAATGATAGTAACAATAGTAAAGTTTAACCTTTCATATTTCCTATAACAAAACCTAGAATAAAATTTCCAACTTGTCTTTCTTTAAGGAGAAAGTGTCTTACACTATATGTCTTTCTTTATGTAGCCTTTTTCGTCTTTAATTTTGTTTATTTTTCTGTTATCTCCATTCTGATTTTTTTTTAAAACCCCCCACCCCCTCCTAAAAATAGAAATATTTTGTTGCTTTCCAATTCAAGGTGGCTTTGGATATATATGTATATGATGTTTATTATTCTTATTCAAGTTTATTTATGTAATGGGTTTAATCTGAAATGATTTTGTGATATAATTGTATCTTTCCAATATACAAACATAAATGTCGACAACGGTTAATAATTTGTATAAAACATATTTATGCCTAGAAGTCACTTGTTGCTTTTTTCTCTCCCCCCTAACCTTTCCCCTCCCACCTAATCATGATGATGATGATGATGATGGGATTACAGGTTATTACTTGTTATTAGAAACTTTCTTGATCTTTCTGTTTCGTATGTAAAATGAAACCATTTTTTTCTTCTTCAGAAACAATATGTTTATTAAAGGATGTAATTTCTTAATTTCCACCCCCTATTTTTCATTCAAAAAATTTAGGTAATGTAAGTATTCTATTTTGTATTTTCATAGTTTTTTCTGTGGGATTCAAATGAACTGTGATTGTTTTTATGAAAAAAAAAGAGAAACATTTTTCATTGTTTTTTGTTTTTGTATTTTCCCTCTTATTAACAGCTATATAAGTTAGTGGAAATGATGTTTATACATAAATACTTGTGTATTGCATTTGTTTAGTTTTTCTTTTTTTTTTTGCTACTTCTTATTTTATTAATTATATAATCCTGGATAGCTTATTGGTAACATCCCTACATTCGGCAATAAACGCCCCCAAATACCCTGGTACGGCCAAGAGTTGGGAGAGTCAGCTATCCCTATTAAAATGCTCTCACATAACCACGCGTATATAGACTCCTCAAGAGAAGTCCTACTCACTGCCTCTCGTGATGGGGGTGTCGTTCACGAAAATGGGAGGACGAAAAGCGAATGTCCGGTGCTTGAACCGGACCCCAAACCAATGGTGCACATGGGCTCCAGTATCCGGAGGGAACAAATGGCGTATGAACCAATCGTTGGTCACCGGCTACCTTGGGACTGCATCTCCTTACGATGCTCCACTACCTTGTGGGTCAGACGTTCAGGTCAAAGGCTCAGGGTGTGAACCCCTAAGAAAACCACCTGCTTCGGTTTGGTTACTCGGGCAGAATCATAGCCCTCACACATATCAAATGAGATTTGTGTGGCGCATATGTATTTGGTGCCTCCTTGTATCAATATGTGTTCAAATAAATTAAATAAATAAATCGGAAATAAACAGGCGATTTTGGTTTAGATTCCATAGGGTTGCTTAAATTCCATGCACAGTTGTTGAGCAATGTTTGATACTGGTTAAAAGTCGATTTTCCGACCATCAGGTCACGGATCCAGATCCAATCAAAGCTACATTGATCTTCGTAGTGCAGTAGAATGTTTATTCTTCATAAACATATGCATCGAAATGAAGTACATAAAGGTTGAACTCAGTAGGTGAATTACATATTGTGTAAGCTTGGAAAATATCAACCAAGCAGCAATGGTAACGTGAGTATTGAACATAGTTTATCATGAATATTGTCAAAAACTGGAGTGACAAAGTTGTTCAATGTTCGAATGAGTACATTTAATGACAAACAAGTAGAATTTGAAGTTTACTTATCAAAGTTTTTAACCATGTCTAATTGATTGTAATCGATTCTTTGCTATCTATTACTTTCTTGTTTACATAATCGATTGACAAAAGGAAATAAAACAAAGTTGTCAACTATTTTAAAGCAACATGTATTGATTCGAGTGTCCTGTTTATAATGATTGAGAGTAATTCTTATATTGTCTACTATATAGTCATTAGCTCTATTTTTACTTCACTGAACGAGATTTGGATTTGATACGACTTGAAGTTGTATATAAATGTGTTTTGTTGTATTTTTTGTATTGATGTAACCCTAACTACAAACTTTTAAGTATGTTTGCCTATTAATCATGTATTTTAAGGTATCTTAAGATGTAATTATGTAGATAAACTTGATTGTAACTCGAGTGTCTAGTTATGGTTATCTCTCTTAATAGTATACCCTTAATCTTAAGTGTAGTTTTCAAGGATAACGAAAAACTCAAGTGGCGAAGATCAATTCATTGTATAATGCAAAATTAAAGTGCTTTCATAAAATGTGAAAACCATACATCGCTGTTATGCTGGATTTCCGAAGGAAACACTATACTGCCGTCACACCTCTGCACATTCAGCAGTACGACCTGACCTTTAGACATTGGGTTTGCTGCTTTTAATCTTGCAGCTCCTCAATCAACCTGTCTGGCATTGTAGGACGTTGAGGAACTATTGTTCCATCTAGTATGGCTGGATTTGTTCATCACGATAGGCAAGCCCGACCACCACGTCAAGGTAGAAGTAATGTTGATAGATACAAACTACTTGGTTGAGGTTCGCGTGACTATCGTAACCAATGGTTGGAGACTGTGTGTGACATGACTCAGAATCGATCACAATGGCGTCGGTGTATACACTCTCTGTCTTCCCTTAAACTAAGAGATTAAAATCACTTCATATGTTTCTTTCTACGAACTAATTTTATCTTCCTATACTATCTCCTTATATGCAATCTTTCTTCTATATATATTACCACCACTGAATTAACTACTTCTATGAATCCGGTGTTCATCTTGTTGTACTAATATGAGGTGTGGCAATTTGGAACGATACACATATGTGCCTGATCCTACATTGTTGCTGACTGACTGGGTGTTTTTCTTTCAAAAATGTGTAAGTCATGTGAAGTTATTATACACAATTGATGAACACTTAAAATACAAATGTAAAACTAGTTAATTTATGACTATAAAACTGTACATTTCTGAAATTTTAAGGTGACCATTTGTTTTCTTACACAGTTACATTATTCATCGACCTAAAACTTTTTGTAATCAATAATAATAATAATAATAATAATAATAATAATAATAATAAACAACTTCAATTAGTCTAATTATTAATTTATCTATCACTTATTCAATTCAATATAGAATAGAATAGAATAGAAGGTTCACAGTATAAAGAAGTATTCATTCATTAAGTTTATATTGAACTGATTATAATTTTACTTGTTTATACAAGTTTTTGTTTTTGTCGTCGTCGTTGTTGTTGTTGTCGTTGTTGTTGTTGTTGTTGTTGTTGTTGTTGTTGTTGTTGTTGTTCTGGTTTGATAACCTTAATTCATGCTAAAAAGAAGAAAAAAAAGAGTTGTTTTTAAAACAAAGTATGTTATCATAAAGTTTATTGAAATCATTTCAGTTATATATGTATATACATATATAATTAGGTGTATAACCAGGCAAATACATCATATTTGTGAATATAACACCTCATAAGTGATTAAAGAGTAAAATAATACAATAGGAAGCTATATTGTAACAAGCTTAGTCCCCAAATGTCCTTGTACGGAGGAGAGTGGGGAGAGTTTGCTTTCCCTATCGAAATGCTCTCAAGTGACCATGTGCATACAACCATTGACAGGGAAGTCTTACCCACTGCTTTCTCGTGGTCGGGGTGTTGTTTACGAAATTGAGAGGACTAACAGCAGATGTCCGACGCTTTAACTGGGTTGGTGGATATGAAGGATTCATCTAGGAGGGGGGGTTGGAAAACCCAAACCAATGGTGTACATGAGCTCCAGGATCCTGATGGAACAAATGGTATATGAACCAATCGTTGGTCACCGACTACCATGGGACTTCATCTCTTGGTGTTGCTCCACTGCCTTGTGGATTAGACCTTAAGGTCAAAGGCTGTGGGCGTGACCCCTTAAGAAAACCAACTGCTTCGATTTGGGCACCCGGTCAGTATCCCAGTCCACACATAAATCGAATGATTTATGTGGTGCCTCCTTGTACCAATGTTCTTATGTGTTTAAATAAAATAAATTAGTCGATACTGGTCAATATCGATGCAAATTTAGGTTATACAGTTATTTGTAGAATTCCATAGAAACTGCCATATGCTCCTACAATCTAGGAATACATAGAAATGAATCTAATCACTATCCATGATCTTAATAACTTGATTATCTAATTTTATTCATTCTCAATTAATAAGTTACTTTCAATGGTTAAGATCATCAGTCAGTTGAAGCTAGACCACCATGAAAAACCTGAAAGCACTGAAAAGCCGTTTCGTCCTATTGTGGGACTCCTCAGCAGTGCGTATCCACTTAATATGATTAATCTCACACTAAAGATTTACATTCAAATTGGTTCATATCAAAGTTATTCAATTCGTATTCTTATTCTTAAGTAATTAATTATAATAATGAACTAATTATATAATTTTGTGATTAAGCTCGTAAATCGATGAATGTTAAACTACCATTGAAGACTTAGAAGCATTAGACAAACGTTTCGTCCCAGTATGGGACTCCTCAGCAATGTGCATCCACGATCATTGCACGCGAGATTCGAACCGAGTGCTTTAGGTTTCTCGCGAACGCTTTAATTATGACTGTATTTGTTGTGTTACATTGAGATATAATATTTGAAGTTCATTGTTAAATTGATTCACCAGGATTTATTTGATATTGATCTTAAAGCTAGTTGTCAAACTGATATATTAGTGTTGAACTATAACAAAGAACTAATTGAAAAGAAAGATTTTGCCGTTCAACTTGTATTTTCAGTGTTTTAACAGAAATATTTAATACACTCAGTCAGTCAGTCAATCAGTAACAACGTAGAACTTCGTAAATACGTACATCAGTTCAAGTTGCCATATCACATTAGCACAGTGAATGCAATTGTCGATTCAAATCCCATAGTGTATAGAGGTAGTAAAAGTATAAGCATTCATCTGAAACATTAGAGTTTGAAGATGTTATTTAAGGAGTACAAACTAGTGAAATAAATTTTTTTAGTGTGTATTTAATACTTACTTACTTACGCCTGTTACCAACAATGGAGCATAGGCCGCCGACCAGCACTCTCCAACCCACTCTGTCCTGGGCCTTCTTTCCTAGTTCCACCCAATTCTTGTTCATTTTTCTCATGTCTATCTCCATTTCTCGGCGTAATGTGTTCTTTAGTCTTTCTCTCCTCCTTCGACCTTGAGGATTCCATATGAGGGCTTGTCTTGTGACGCAATTCAGTGTTCGCCTCAATGTGCATCCTATCCACTTCTAGCTCTTTTTTCCTGATTTCTTCCTCCAATGGGATCTGACTTGTTCTCTCCCACAGTAGGTTGTTTCTAATAGTGTTTGGCCAACGGATCTGAAGTATTTTGTGTAGACAACTGTTAATAATCACTTGTGTCTGCTGGATAATGGCTTTCGTAGTTTACTAGGTTTCGGCCTTATATATTAGAACTGTCTTAACATTTGTATTGAAGATTCTAACTTTGATGTTGATTGACAGACAGTTGTTTTGAGTTCCAGATGTTCTTCAGTTGTAAATATTCTGCTCTTGCTTTGCCGATTTGTATTTAATACACTTGAAATCATTTTATTTCTTTTCATTCTTTCATTAAATATTATGAGGAAAACTTTATGATTTTGATGTTACTGTATTTTCTAAGTTGGATAGTTTAATTATGAAGTGTTCATTGTGTTTCTAGACAAATATTCTATCAACCCGAAATTGTTTAAAAAGACAATAAGAGCTTCACTATTTAAAAATCAAGCTCAAAGAAAACAGCTACACTACAATCATTCTTTTGACCTACAAAGCTTTTCTATGATCTGAAGATTTTTTAGTTCTATGCTTTTTTTTTATTGTTTAGAAAGTGTGTATTCAAGATAACTGAATTAAGGAGTGTAGGAGAATCGGAAAAGTAGTTTAAGTCCATTATAAGTTAGGATTACCGATGAAGAGGGAGGTTGATTATGAATACAGTGGTCTTGAATGCTGTTAGAAGTATGTGTGCAGTTATTACTTACCGGTTGCTCACACTGTGGAAATGTTCTTATTCAGGTATCTGAAAAGGAAATTGGATTAGAGGTGGTCATAGAAACCTGAGAGTGTGACCTCAGTGTCCAATGGACAACTACTTGAGATCCGTCACACACGTCATTTTTGTGAGTAATCTTCCTGTTAGCTTCATACTTGTTTAGACCTTAC